ACTTTCTCCCTGTCGGTGTTATTGGTTATCTTTGCAGGTCAGAGAGGCCCCTTCTTTGCCCATTTTTAAAGCTCGTCTTAAAACCCATCTATTTTACTTGGCTTTCAACACCAGTGGGATCTAGTTTTAAATTGTATGTTTTTTGCTTTTAAACTGTTTTTAAATTATTTTTATTATGTTGTGTTCTTAAACTGTACAGCACTTTGTATCAACTGTGGTTGTTTTAAAGTGCTTTATAAATAAAGCTGGTATGGTATGGTATGGTATGTTCTCCATAGTAAAGCAAAGAAGATCTGTGCTTTTGATTTTAGAGATCAGGGTTAACATCTTGTAGTGAGAGGAGATCTTGTCTGATTTTGGGACTTTCTGATTTTTTTTAAATTAGAGATTAGAGCAGGCAGCAAATTCACCTTTTTAAATCCTACAGACTCCTACTACTGCTTCCTGAACAACACCCTTAGCCCCAGAAAACACACAGCTACTACTCAATGATAACCCACCCCCATCCACAGGGGAATACGTTAAATGAAGAGAAATTAATCTCTAGTTTTAGACAATTACAAAGACAGTTATTACAAAGAGGCTTAAAGATATAAAAGGTAATGTTTTAAAAGGACCGTCAATAAGCCGCGGTCTTTGCCCATAGAAAAGGTTTATTAGACAAAGGATGCCTGGTTACATGTTCTGTTTGCAGGAATGGGCCATCATTTTTAATTAAATGATGGGAGAAACATGTTGACCCAAATCATGTGGTTTAAAACCTAATCCTACCAAACACTGATGATAATGGCTGTAACTTATGAACTTGAAGAACTAACAAAAAAATCTTGTTATCTTGGCATATTTGACAATAATAAATCATTTTGAAGATGCAAATAAATAAAGTTTGTCCAATGTTTTGCAGTAGAGTGAGAAGAGTACTACTATACACAATAGAAAAGTACTATTGTGTTTTGATTGCAAAATTTGTATGCATGCACCATATAGCATGACCAAAGGTGTTGCTCTTACCACTGCAGAGTTAGCTGCGTTTGTTTCTTCTTGTCCTTAATTATCTGACTGATGGTTTTCCTGGAGGAACTCATGCTCTGTTTCATCCTCAGGTCAGAGTTCAAGTCCAACAGATCGTGTTCGTCTTCAGATGACGGCGTCTCGTTGCCGTCTTCTGCAAAAGAAACGCGACAAGTTGGTTAATCAGTGTCTAATTTTAATCATAGGAATTTATTTATTTGTCTTATTGTTAGAAAGCTAAATATGACCTGCCTAGACAACTCTGAGACTTTATTTTTTTTTAGAATGCAACTTTAATCATAACTGAAATAACTTTGATTAATTGACCATTTGGTAAATAAATAGAATGCGACACAAATGCTGACCAAGTAGGTGTTAATTGGTATTTTTAATGAAATGTTCTTTATGCATTTCTTTGCCCTTTTCTCGTTTCCTGACAGAGATGCTGGAAAGAACATCATCATTTGTTTGTTTTTCTCTAAAGAAAGTTAAAAAAAAACGCTGCTACCAAAATACAGGGTTTAAGAATTTAATAAACTGTCGTTACAATCATGAAAAATGTCAAAATTGCTTGTAATTAGAGTCGTGGCATTTTAAAAATAGGATAAATAAAGGACTGCAGGGACTGACCACAGGGAAAATCTTAACTTCAGAACCTTGAGGGTTCGAACCACCAAGAAGAGAATGTGCATTTCAGTCAGTGGTGTGAAGGTCTGGATTAAACTCCAAAAAGAGCTGAAACAATTCGCAAGCATGAGTCTGTTTAAAAAAAGGCTCCAACTGATGTTTTTCTAAATGTGCTGTGATGAGGAGGGGAGCTGAATGTTGCTGTGGGTGTGTGTGTATTTTTCATCTGCTAAATTAGTTCATTAAAGTCCTTCTTATCACTTTTTTTTTGTGATTACCGTAACATTTTTTCCACTAATGGAAGATTTGAAGAGTATTTTTTCAATTTTACTTGAGATTCAGTTTTTATTACTAAGCCTCCAGGGCATTCCTCATTAACTTTGCAGCTTTTATTTCCATCTGAAGGTTGATTGGTTTTCTCTTATCCAATCTTAGAAATATTTGTGCTTTTATTAATCTTGCCAGTTTGATTGTTTAAAGGCATGGACCAAAAGTAAATAATATGATGATAATGTTGAAAAGAATCAACCAATCTTTTCTGAGGCTTGCAGTTTGAGTGTTAAAGACCTTCAGTGTAACCCAGTTATTACTTGGTATATTTGAAATTATTTCTTTATGTTTTTTTATTTAGAACATTAGGTATAAGTTCCAGGCGACCTGTCTAGGGTGTAGCCCACACTGCAAAAAAGGAAAATCTATACAAGTGTAATAAACTTGAATTAAGCATTTTGGTCTTATTACACTTGTTTTTCAATGTCTTTTCTTAGTAAGACTAAATATTGTTAAGATTATTTTACTTGTTTTAAGAAAATAATTTTTTTAATCCTAACTAGATAATACAACTAATTCTGAGCAGCTTTTTTCTTAAAATAGCACACATT